GTCACATGGGCCTGCTACATAACATTGTTGAACATCCCAGACGCATCGTCTGCACACCTGGTAGACAGGTAAGCTTGTAGGCCGGGTTTCAGACAGACTTTGGTATGGTTGAGACAATGTAGAGGACACAGCGATCTGCCCACGCTGGGTCTGCAGCTGGACTGGGGACAGACAGAGCGGGACGGGCTGCAGTGCAGTGGGTGCCGGTGACTGAGTGGTAATGGTCACCGCTCCCCGTCACCACTGTGCGCTGCAGCTCCCTGCGCTGATATTTGTGGCCGTGGCTGCCTAAGCATGTGACCAGACACTTACACAACAACTGCCGGCATCCAGACATGACGGCTTCCTATGCTGTGCCTGCATCCCTCTTCCGAACGCCTACCTATCGTATCTTGCGCCTCTGACAAGCGACACCCAAAGCGACAGAATACTGGCTCCACCTGTAAGAATCTTGGGCTCCACCCAGTCTGGTCACATACGCGAAAGGTCTATACGTTATAGACATGTGTATGTATACCGGTATCCAGAAATAGTGGTCCTTAGTCCTCCAACCGTAGTCCAAGGATATTCTGGTCCCCAGTGTGTTCAGCTCTTCTCCCCTTCCACCGTCCGTTCTATTCCCCTCCCCTCCACCATCGTTCTGGTCCCCGCGGACCCTCGTCCAACACACGATCCGGTCTACTCCCGTCCGCCAACCCGTCTGCAGCTGATCAGACGTCCCCAGGAGCTTCTGGGAAGCGTGCGCCGGCAGCCTTGTGTCCCATTAGTGGTGAACTGGCCTGCTGACCGCCCTCCGTCACGACAGGTCGCTCGGACGGTCGGACGGTCGGCTGGTTGGGCGTTTGGTTGGTTAGGACGCTCAGTTGCTCGGACGGTTCGGCTGGAGCGACTGCGGTCGGTCGGTCGGCCGGCCGATTACTTGGGCATACAATGACGGTTGAACGGTTGGTCAAATATTCAGCAGTCAGGTCTGTCGGTCGAAGAGTTAAATTGTCAGTTGTTTTGTGGTCGGTTACTCAGAATTAGGTTGCCCGAATGATGCCTCAGTCTCAGCTGTCTGCTGAACAATGCAGCCACCAACTGAAGACGTAGATAATTGGTCTGTTTGTTTTCATCTCGAAGCATATACAGCTAACGTCTGAGTCATCAGCCCTCATCTATAGCAAGCAGCTCTTGCCTATCTCAGACGGGCTCATCACAGTTATAAACGCTTCCTCTACAGACAGCTTCCGTTTCTTATAACTTTGCTGTCTGGTCTCTCCAGTTTCGAAGTGAGTTTTCAGGACAGTGACAGTTTTACGCTGCACATTTTAACGTCATTGGGGACTGGGGAGATTCTGCTATTCCCCTGAATGATCCCGAACTTTGCATGCATTGGCTGATTTTGACAATTGACATTACCTAATCGCCGGGCCAGGCACTGTTACGACTCTTCACTCGGGGAACAAGAAGCTAGGTTTCGTGTCGTTTTCAATCATGCAGAGCCATTGCGCCGCCTAGAGATAGCGACGGACACTAGTGCAGCTGTGCACGACGTAATCAGTCATTTGTCGGAGGGTCCACCTCATCCAGTTACACAGAACCAGTTGCTACATTGATATGAATCTTCATGGATGACTTGCTTAGCCATGCAGTTTGTTGAAGTTAGTCGGTAGATACCGGGATTTCCTGGAACGTTGATGGGATGCATTGCATCAAGGGTTATGAGCTCATGATCTTAATTTCTTCCCACAAGAGTATTTTTTATTAACACGTAAATCAATTTAGAAGAGCGCAAAATAAATGTAAAACATTATATAATTCCTACAATTTGTCACATCCCAAACGATTAATAAAGTTTTCAGCCACAGCGTGTCGTCTATGCCAAAGGTTAACATGCCCAAAATTATAACTGACAGATGTAATTTAAGAATGAAATTACGAGGTAAATACCTATATCAAGCTTATTAGCTAGGGGAAATAATTTTAAGTTTAAGTTGCATTATATTTTTGAATACAATATTCTACATAATGCTTTCATTTGCCGTCTGCATGCTTCGAGAAATGTGTATGAAAGCGCTGAATTCTAAAGTATTGTAACTAAACTATTTGCGATGCAGCTTGGTCCGTTGAATTCTTCACGGTTTTCATTACCATCTTAGGATTTTTGAAGGTCCCCATGGCTATCAGGATGTTAGGGACGGATAACAGCATGCATTTACCACTATCCCTTGTGTCCTATCCGCAGTTGCATCATGCATCAACCGCGGAACAGTCATGCATATGAAGAGGCCTCGCTCTTACGCGGCACTGAGCAATAACTCTGAACGGCTGTTCTACAGGTGCATGCGGACGAGCCTGACGCAACATGGAAACATACATTTTCATGGACGCATTGGACCACAATTCCTACAGAAATATGTGCCCATGCCATGTTCTAACATTCCTTGGTTTGGTATTCAAACAGTGATTTAATATGGAATGCTTGATTCCACCGTTAAACGTGAAAAAAATATCGGAGACATATCAAACTCCCACCAACCAACGGTTTCCATGACCGACGCCCGGTCAGGGAGGCTGATGACGTCATTGGCGTGAAGCCTTACTGCTAGACATTCTCGAAAAATTTGAATAAACAAAAGGGCTTAGCATGACCGAGAATTCCAGAGGTCAGACAAAAATAAAGTTCTTTTTTATGACCTTTTTCCATAGATGGTTGCCCCATGATGCATCGACTCTAAAGGCGATGTGTGCTATGACATAACTAATTTATCTATGTGACTACGCGCAGGTGTGTTTGATTTAAAAAGAGCAATGGAAATGCGCCCAAAAAAATATGTCCAATTAATCAGGGATAGGTCGGACGACTTCCTTCATAAGTGTTTCGGTGTTGTGTGATGCTGACATTTTAAGGTTAAAGGGACTATCCTACCTGAAAAATGCTATAGAATTAGCCGAAAAGTGTTGTCCCTATCTATACCTACATTTGAGCGCATCATTGGCGAGTACCTATCAACAAATTTTCGCCGAAAGATACCCGCTAGATTTCGAAAAAAAATCGTCTTTCTTTAACTTTCGAGTCCATGATAACACTACACTAAGTCCGTGTTAAAGAGATAGGGTCCCAATGATGCGCACATTGCAACGAAGGAAAGCGATTTTCTCGAAAAACAAGTAGGTAGCTAAAAGTCAAAGTAATGGCACAGCTTGTATTTTCTCGAGTTCCACTTCAACTTGGTTATCTCAACGCAATTTTCATGTAAAGGTGGGACAGTCACATAAAACAAATAGCGACCAGGCGACAATCAAAGCATGAATGTGTCAGAAATTCCTTTATGCATTGTCCTCCAAAACATTGCCTGACGTTACCCGTGCATGCAAACTAACAGTGTTTCGCGGCGTGTGCACTGTCCGTGGCCTGATCAAGGAGTGTCACCGGGTATCGATCACCACGCCCGGCCGCGGGGCACGCGGTCCGTCTCAGTTTGTTATCGACGTGCCACACTGAGTGCTGTTCAGCGGTCGTTTGACGGACCGGCGCCCATTAGCGCGGCTCGCGGTGACCAGTCGACACATCTTCAGTGTTCGTGGCGCCGCGCGGCACGCTCCCAATGTGGCACGAAAACAAACACGGTGCCACGGCCGAACGTCCTGCAGACGAACGCCGCGGCACCAGCGGTCGGTGGCGTGACGGGCGTGGCTGTTAGCACTGCCGGACAGTCGGCTATGATAACGAAAGGCGGCACTTGTTTGTTACAACTTACAACTAGCTGAAACATTAGTGCGATAAATTTTGATTCGTTTATTTCCATTAGGATTGTGGTTACGAAACGACATTGATATGCAATGTATGCGCCAGCGGAACAGAATTTATTCTGTGGCGACTAGCGGGCAACCAATTCTGTCCCATGTTTGATCTCTTTTTTTCCCCGGTGTCTCGAAGAACTGCAACGATTTGTACCTAAACGCAGCTCCTCACTCATGGAAGGAAGACATGAGGCATCCGTTAGGGCGGTCTGTGCCACTCTGGTCACTGCGCCGTCTCTATAGCTCTACTAGCAGAGACAGCGACCAGCGACAACTCGAGTTGAGGGCCGCGGCAGTGCAATTATGAGTCGGCCAGCGACACCGACACAACGCACGCGACCACGGGCCGACATGCCACCGGAGCGGTACCTAAACGAGCCACCGACCGGCGCGGTGCGACATCGCGCGGCCGCCACAGTTGGCAGTTTGTGGCGGACGGGTGTTCCGGCGGACAGCGGACCGACAACGTGCGAGGGAACAAACGGCTCACTTGACACCGCTCAAACCCGTGATTTGTCTGGCATGGTGTTTGGTTTCATGGTCTGACACCTTCAAAAAGACCGCAATTTATCGCATGAATGCACCAGTCTCAGCTGTCAACATTAGCAATGTGCATTATTGAAATGCTTAGTAATTCCTTCAAACATCTTTTTGCATTTATTGCAGAAGCTAAATGATCGTATGTTAACCCTGATTTGTAGAAAGTACCTACTTGCTATTTTAAGGAACCCAATCAAATTAGATGCATATAGATAATATGCGTCTGTGAAGTCCTCCTTTGATGTAAAAGCTAAATGTCGCCATGATTGTGCTTTTTCATGCGCAGCCATTTCAAATTAAGCGCTGTTTCATTAACATGCCGATTGCCGCTAATGCACTTCAGCATTCCAAATATTTTGCATTCTCAACATGACATGTGATTTCTTTGGGTATTTGTCATGAGGCGGGACGTTGAAATTAATTGCCGGAATCCATGAGCCCCGCCCTAACCCCACCCCAGCTCATCCAGGTCCAACCTCACGATCAACAAAGCCGGGCAGCATGCGCCGGACGTGGTTGAACTCGATCCGAAACTCATCAACGTAGGATACCGATTGGACGCTCACGAGACAGGGGCTTACGCTGCAGGTGAACATAAAACACAGACTGTCACAGACCGAGGGTGGGGCTTCATTGAGAACGGCTGAGCCGGCGATCACGGAGGCGACACTTACCGCACCATCCGAGCAGCAGCAGGGCGGTCACGGCGCAGACGGCTACTCGGAGAGGAGTCTCCGCCATACTGGATACTCTGTCACACCTCGTCACAGTGCGTCACCGTGTCACAAAGCGTCACAGTGTGTCACGCGTCAGTCACAGCGCCGAGCGGGCTCGAAGAGACGCGCGGACGGACGGGCGAGTTCCGACGTCGTGTGCGACTGGTTTCAGCGCCCGGCCGCGGTCGGCTAAAGGACTGCACGTGCCGTCACCAGCGGAGGTCCGGCGACCGTCAGCGGCTCTGGGGCGGCGCCGGTACTGGACTGACGGCCTCGCAAGGCTGCCTGGGACCCGACTCGGCCTCCAGTGGATCTCCGGGGACAGATGTAATCGGCACGTGCCGAGAGCGGCGCAGAGGTATGGTGATGTTACCCGTGACGGCTACCGTGACGCGACTGGGAGCGCTGCGTAACGTGACCCACCGGCGCCGCCGCCCGCCGCGCACTGTGCATGCGTCGAGCAACGAGCCACCGCGCCGGGGCTGGGCGGGTCGGGCGGGCCGGGCGGGCGGCCGCCCCGCCCCCGCCGCCGCCGCTGACGGGGCCGACTGTTTGCCAGCAGCGTGACTCGTCGACGTCGACGGACGTTGCAGGGGGGGGGGAGGGGGGTCGGTGACGCACAGAGGGGAGGGGAAGGCGACTCACCGCAGAACGTCACCGGCTCGGTCGCAGAAAGTCGGCGCGGCGCGGCATGCCGGCCGGGCTAATCGCCCAGCGAGTGTCGCGTCGCCGGGATTGTTTTTATATGGTCGCGAGGCAGTCACACACCTGATGCTGGAATTGGATGATGCCACTGCACACCCGGACATGCCTAACCTCAGACCGTAACTGTGCTGCAAGCTTTGACCGCATGACCTCCGCCGTGGGAATTCCAAATTTCTTGCCGAGAAGGAAATGAGATTCATTTTATGGCGTGCAAAGCGTGTCCATATTCACACTAGACGTGAATAATTGCAGTCTGTAAAAAACAATGCGGTAGGTAGTACGCTGCGTTTCTATTAACGCGGGTTTCCCTGGAAATTTGCACACGGCGGATCCAATTAGGGAATGCCAAATAGGTGCAGTTCACTCAAGATCATGCTGATAACAGGTCATAGGCCTTCAGTGTGCAAAAGAAGATAACAGTGCTACCGAAAAGAAGTGTGCAGGAGGTGTTCGGGAAGGCCACGTTAGCGACAGCTCGCTTCTGCAAACGACCGCCAAACGACCACCGGCGCTGTCATCAGTCACTCACACTAATCGGTGTCACTCGGTGTCACTCAGTTGTGCCACCCGGTGTCAGTCGCGACATTTAGTGTGAGGCCAGTCGGTGGGGTGCCACAGCTACTCATGCTCTGTTGGCAGTCTGTCAGAGGTGACATTATTGCTTATCTCTTATCTGTTATGTAGATACTGCCCGCAGGTCAATGAAAATTGCTCAAAATAGCAAACAATTGGGCAAATAACTATGTGATGTTCAATAAAAAGAAACTCAGGGTTACGTTACATCTGGACTCAACGTTACATCTGAACTCAATCCACACCGACACCATTTTGTCATGCGCATTCATATAGAAGGCTTCTGACAGTGTTTCAGTTTCAGTACACAGTACACACTGTATAAGAGCTAAATGGTGTTGCAACTCCTAACATGACAGAATTTCATTAGATATTTGTCTTTTATGAAGGCATTTTGCTTTCAATGCTGTCTTGCTGCTTGTGTGGATGCCACTGTTCACTCATAAAATATATCTCATCAGTACCTAATCCGTGCAATGCGATGCAAGTAATTTTTGCTATAGAGCTATCGCTAGCACGCATGCCACACCGCACGTCTGTCATGTGGCGCGCGTTCAATGTCATCGACATCCGAGTGTGAGCGTCACGCACCTTTTGATGTTCCTGTCAGTGGCATGTCCCGCGTCCTTGGGCGACTGTCGTCAGCGCGGGCGATGCTGCTGGGAGATAGCCGTCTACTGCTGCCGATTGCCGCTCAACACGCGAATAAATCACGTCTTCCGACGGTGTCAATGTGCGCTCATCTGGTATTTGATCTGAGGACGGCGACGGACGGCTGCAGCTCCGGATGTGGGGTGACGTAGTAGGTATCGACTATCGTTCCTCCACGCACACTGCGACGACAGAGGCTCTGGGAGATGTAGAACCGATAGGAGAAACGTCTCAAATATGCAGAGATAATGCACGTTTTTGAATAACAAGATGTATCAACAGGGAATCAATAGCAATAAGTAACAACCATTTTTTAATAACAATATTTATCAACAGAGATAATGCATGCGCTTATTCGTTTGCCAAATCAATGTGCATATTTTCTTTAGTTTCAGCACCTTGTATGATCATGCATTTTCCTGATAAAATTTTGACTTTATCTCATCATGTCATCATTCACCACGATGACCATGCTGCCCATCATGTGTCAACTGCCTGAGGTCTGTGCATCTGCAACTGGCGTCATTTCATCATCTTCTTCACCTCTGCTTATCTCCGCTGTCTCCGTCAGTTTCACCGTTTCCGCTGTCTCCCTCGTCTTCTCCATTCGTCTTATCCGTCTCCTCAGTTTCCGTGATCGTCTCAGTGCCCGTCTCCTCCATCTACCAGTCTTCGTGCATAATTCCACCGTCTCCTCCGCTTGTCTGTGGCCGTCTCCGGCCGTCTCTGACCGTATCCCTGTCTCATCCATCTCCCCTACCCGTCTCCGTTCATATCCACCGTCTCCTCCGTTTGTCTCTGACCGTCTGCCCCTTTTCTGCCTATGTCTTCAGCCCAACCCCGTCTCTGCCCGTCTTTTCACGTCCCCGTCTCTGCCCGCGTCCCCCGGTATCCTCCCGTCTCCTCCACCCGTCACCGTCTATGCCTGTCTCCTCTCTCCATCTCTGTCTCTGCCTGTCTCTGCCCGTCTCCGTCCGTCTCCGTCCGTCTCTGTCCGTCTCCGTTCGTCTCCCCCGCTCGTCTCTGCCCGTCTCCTCCGCCGCGCGGCGGACGGCGGACGGCCGCAGGCGCAGTGAGCGAGTCGTTGACCCCGCGGACCACGGCCGCCACGCCGCGCTGCTCACGGCCTAACGCCAGCACCAGGCCAGGTGACTGAGGCGAGAGCGCGAGAGGTGTGAGCGGAACAGGAGCAGTCCTTGTTACAGCTGACCAGGTCAGGTCAGGTCAGGTCAGGTCAGGTCAGTGGTGTCAGTGGTACGGTGGTGATGGTGCGGCGGTGGTGTCCGCACAGGAGACAGGCTGTGGCGTTTTTCCTGGCGGCGTTCTCGCTTCTCTCGCTGCTGTTTCCACCACGTGACCAGCGCATCGTTAACGATGGTCACAGCCGTCACAGGTGAGTGGCAGATATCAATCTACCGCAGAACGTAATCTTGGTTTTATTATCATGGGAATGTAACATCACTTCTTTTCGAACCCGATAACTGATAACTGATATACGGCCTGAGCAATTAAAATAATTTATGAAATTTAAAACTGTCAAGGGTTTGCATTCAAAATTGAGCGCACTAGGCCTCTGTCCTGCAGACGACACACACGAATGCCACTTATGTAATTGAATCTGTCACGAACCGTCTTCTTTCTGTCATTTCAAATATACATTCTCCTGAAATGTTACTTAGGATTACACGTAAATTAAAAATATGTTGTGCACCTGTCAGTTTAAGTTCAGTCAGTCAATCAATTACACTGTCATGGCAGTCATTTTGCTTAGAATCAAATTGTGACATTATGTAATTGTTTACATAAAATTCGTCTACAAAGGCTTGAAAAAATGAAGTTATGCTTGGTATAATATATTCCTGCCCGGGGCCGGGATGATTCAATAAATGTCACCGAGGTTTTTTAGCGAAAACTCCGAGGGCCGTTAGGCCCGAGGTGATTTTGCTAAAAAAAGCGAGGTGACATTTATTGAATTCCCGGGCTTAGGGCTGGAAGAAGTTTCCCATACCTGCCAAAAAGCTCACAACTCTATGATAGTGACGTCAGCAGCCGTGTGGTTCAACGTGTTTAACCACACCCCTTGAACCACACGGCTGGTAATATTAAAGTATTGCATTAAACTTTGAAAAGTGTGGTACAGTGCACGTGCCGTTTAAATGCCTGGATGTCTCGATTTAATCATGCAATGTAGCAGGTATGGGAAGCATCAGTATTGTAGCAGATAATGCCTTACAGATGACTTGCTTTGTCAGATTTTTGGTGGCCAAAGAATACCCAATGCACGCGAAACATACGTAAGTACGATAATAAATCGTTTAGCGGACTGACTCTGGGTGTAAAGAAGCTATTTTTCCCTGTACTTCGACCTTTATTGACAGGTCTTCAAAGGGGCAATGCGATTAAAAAAACAAACAATAATCATGCTATACTGCCATCCACGAAATTCTCAAAATGATCGATGCTAAAACACGTGACACAACTTACAGACAGTTCGTACTCCAGTAGGTCTACTTTTTCAAAACACTATCCCATATAGGGCTAAGCGAGAACTTTCCGACACCCTGATTCAGTGATGGGTTGCATAATCGAATCTCGATGGCCTCCCTTACGACACGGCGGGACCATGTTGGCTCGACCGCCAGCGTGCTAGCCTGACCTGGGTCAAATGGTTGGCGACACTGGAGCCAGTGTTCAGTTAAAGGGGATGTGTCTGACCTCCCATGCTTTATGGCTGCTACGTGTTCTTTAAGTCGCATGCTTTTAGGACGCCCGGTCTCGCCAACATACGTGGCACCACAATCACAAGTAGTCTAGTAAATGACACCTTTTTGCAAGTCCTTTGGTGGTACGTCCTTGGCTTTAACTAGTTTGTCCCTGAGTGTTGGCTTCGAGCTATATCCTAACCGAATTTGGTGGGGCGCTAAAATCCTAGCAATTCTTTCGCTGGTTCCTTTGACGTAGGGGATGCTAATGTACGTAGTACGGGGTCGTTCGGTTGTCTGGTCGTCCGGTACGGCCGGATCTGTCCGGTCGGGTCGCCCAGCGGTCGGTTGGGCTCGGTTATCGCCATCGGTCAGCTCCTGTCTCTGCTGCTCCGTCGCAGCCCGCTGTTTGGGCTTCAGCGCTCGTCTCACGTAATGTCTCGGGTAGCCATTTTCCTCGAAGACTTTTTCTTGACGTGAAATCGAGATTCGATTATGCAACCCATCACTGAATCAGGGTGTCGGAAAGTTCTCGCTTAGCCCTATATGGGATAGTGTTTTGAAAAAGTAGACCTACTGGAGTACGAACTGTCTGTAAGTTGTGTCACGTGTTTTAGCATCGATCATTTTGAGAATTTCGTGGATGGCAGTATAGCATGATTATTGTTTGTTTTTTGAATCGCATTGTCCCTTTGAAGACCTGTCAATAAAGGTCGAAGTACCTACAGGGAAAAATAGCTTCTTTACACCCAGAGTCAGTCCGCTAAACGATTTATTATCATTAATATACCTGGGTTTAAATATGACTTTACAGTCTCAT